GGGTCCTTGGACCCTTAGGGGGTATGTTTTGCAATGTTTGTTTGGACGTCAGGTGCCCTTGTGAAATGCACCGATTCATTGGTAGTCTGAGACCCTAAAACTTTTAGCCTAAAACTTTTAGCCTAAAACCTTCAACCCCATGATAAACCCTAACCACAGGAGCCTGAATTGCTTCAACATCGCAATGTGTAGTTACATAGGGGTTGGGGATTCGAAAGGAAATCCCTATAAACATCAGTGTAAGCATGGGTTCTATGCCATTTTCAATTTCAAGACTTGACCACTTCATTGTCCATCATTTTGACACACGAAACCGTTTGGCAGACAACCTAAGCGTTTAGCCCTGGGACAGAACCCAACCTGGCGAGCTGACGTGACCCGCAGTCTAAGCCCTAAACCGTGGTCTTAATTCACAGCCACCCTAGAAGGACCCACAAGATATACAGTCACCAATATTCCCAAGGAACCCTATATGTAATATCCGGAAGTCAACAACAAACAGCCCAGCCTAAATCCCCATCTGACCTGTACATCTGGGATCTGTGTAATCCATGTATATTCTCCATAAAACCCTCATAGTAAAGGGCTTTTAACAAAACGCAAGCTGACTTGCCATACGAGCTGCAAGGGAACCGCCCACAGCTCCCGAGTAGAGGAAACGCAGGAAAGTCTCTACGGCCGCGGGCGAGAAGTCTTCGATGACCACCTCCAAACTACACGGGCTTTCCCAGACCCCCAAAGGGATTTCAAAATTAGATGCCCTAAAAGACTGTGGGGAATTACATAGGGATTATATTGGGATTATTATTATTATGGCTTTATATAGGGGATCTAATTTTTAGATCCTCCCAGGGGTCTGGGTTGGGGTTTTACCTGGCCCCCAACATATGTAGACCCATGGCCTTTGTCACGATTTTTATGGCTTCGGCAGCATTATTTCACCACATTTATTGAGGTCCAGGCAGGGTTTGGGGTACGTTTCTACTTCTTCCTCCTTCGTCATATGAACCATTGTCTAAACTCCTAGTATCCCCCTCAATAACCCCTCTGGTAATACCCTATAGATTTCATATAACGCCCTTTAAGGAGTTTAGACAGTAGCTCATATAGAGCCTTCATGAAATCCTTGTACCCCACATCTATCCCAAAGGGTCCATGTACATGTAACTATATAGCAGATACCTAAACCCGCCCAGAAGGTTTCCATATAACTGCATACCCTCAACCCTCAACCTGAGACCCTAAGCCCTAAACCCCTTGCAAACCCTAAATCCTAAATCCTAAACCCTGCATCCCATATACTATATGGCTACTTGGACCCTTTGGGTAGGGCCTTAAACCCCTAAACCACACATAGAATTTCATGGCCACAACGCACCAGGCAGGATATGGCTTTCTGGGGGGCTTAGGGTTTAGGGTTTAGGGATTAGGTTTTGGGATCCGGGTTCAGGGATTAGGGTCTAGGGTTTGGGGCTTAGAGTTTGGGGTTTGGGGCTTGAGGATTGGGGTTTAGGGCTTAGGGTTTAGGGGTTAGGCTTAAGGTTTAGGGGTCAAGGTTTTAGCTCAAGGGCTTAGGCACTAGCATTCATGGCAGAGTTTGGGGGCATGTGGGGGTTTGGGGTCTGTCTAGAGCTGCCACCTTAGGCTGCAAGGCTTCAGATGTCAACATGAGGTGCTTTAAGGTGTGAGGTTGCGGTGAGAGGGCCTATAAGAACTCAGCCAGACAGTTCCCAAAGCCGTGATGATACTTCTTATCCCTCACATAGCCCAGTAATTAAACCCTTAACCCAGCAACTTTCGAACACCGCATCCTCACGCTGCGCAGGGTGATATTAAGAACGCCTAGCCCCGTGATCCTAAACCCTGAAGCTGTAGACTTTAGTATTTCACCAAACTCCGAAATCCTAAGCGCTTTGAAGCGGCCGAACCCTGCATGCCAACCCCTAAACCCTAAACCTTCATCCCTGTAGGGTCTCGGAACCCAACCTGGTTTTCCGTGGATTCTGAAAAGCCTGGGGCGTTGATCCTGGGCTGCTGAGGAAGTGGATTTGAGGATTTACGTACTTCCAACAACAGAGGCACCCCTTCTGCACTCTACGAATGCTGTCCTGAATAGAAATTCAGGAAACCCCCCAAAAGGGTCCTTAATTGTGGGGAGCCCCATTTAAAGGTTTCTCGTCGCTAGGGGCCCTAGGCCCATGAGTTCTTACTGGGGGTTCGACAACCGATATCGGTTTTAAAGGTTTAGGGGTGGTAGACAGGAGTTGACAGTTTAGGGGTTAGGCTTGAGGGGTTTCGGGTTGAGAGGTTTAAGGTTGAGGGGTTTAGGGTTTAGGGTTTGAAGCTCCTATCTACGCTGCTGCGAATTCCTGTCTGCCTGGAAATGCAAGCAGCATACCTTGTTTTGTGGCGCCTCTGAGGTTTTTTGCTCTGTGGGCAGAGTAACGACGGCTCCATATATACCCTTGTATGATATAGTAGCTTCAGTTTTCATTTCCATTATCCCAATATTACGCCAATATTCCCAAGGTATCTCTATAGCATACTGAATGTAGCCACCCTTGCCCTGGGTCTCTAAGCATGCAACTTTGGCCAGTAACTCTAAGGAAGTTTCAGGTAAGTAGTTGCTGGGGTCACCTTGTTTTGCCTGCATCCTTTGCCCCGAACCCTTATCCCTGAACCGCATAACCCCAACGCCCATAGCTCCACACCCAAACACCTATACCCTAAGGGTCCAAGGACCCTAAATCATTGGGTTTTAGGGCGCAAGTACCATTCATGTTTTACTATTTTTGCCCCAAAACCCTATTATTGGGGTCCTTGGACCCTTAGGGCTACTGCAAAACCTAAACCCTAAACCCTAAGCCCTAAATCCCCTAAACCCTAAGCCCTAAACCCCCTAAACCCCGTAAACCCTAAACCCTAAACTGCGTGGCCTACCTCTTTCCGCGAGTCCGGGAGCTGCCAGCTCTGAAGCTGGACATGTCACACAATAAATTGGTGCAGTTCCTCATTTTGACCTTGAGATATAATGTTTAGGGTTCAGGGATTTAGCGTTTAGGGTAACTTGCAGCTCCTTCTTTTGACCCTGAGATATATACATATATGGGGGCTTAGGGTTTAGGGTAACTTGCAGTTCGTCCTGACCCTGTCATATATATATATGTATATATGGGCTATAGTCTAAACTCCTTAAAGGGAGTTAGGCAGGGGTTTACATAGGGGACTCTGATAGGGGTTATTAAGTGAGATACTAGGAGTTTAGACTGTAGATCATATGTGTATATGCAGATATATAGGGTTATGCAGGGGTCGTGTGGAGATTATAGGAGGTTTCGGGTTTGGGGTCCAAGGTGAGAGATACCCTATGGTCCATCATACACTGGTAATGGTCGGAAATCATCTGAAAAGGAGAATGACGAATGAAATGGCAACTGGGTCTGCTTAAAGGTTTACAAGGTCCAGTATGCCATATCAAGGCCTGTTGGGGGGTAGATGATAGTTGTATACTTTGGAGGCTGAGAGGGAGCAGACGGAGCAGATGACAATCGCATGAGTTGGATCGTATGAAACAAGCGGGTTATAGTACTTAGGGGTCCATATTGGGATTCCCCTGTTTATGGAGAAAGTACCATATACACTTCTATAAGCAACTCAGCCTCCCTGATAAGGCTAAGGGCATAGTCCCCCTTAAGTAGATAGAAGATGGCTTTGGGTATACTATAATAGGATCCCCATATATCCCATATTCTATGTACTTAAGAGGGGCTATAACCCTAAACCCTAGACCCTGTTTATCCCATATTCTATCTACTTAAGGGGGACTATAGGTCAGCAGTACCAGACATCATTGGGTGATAGTTGCCCTGAGCTGCAGAGCTTCGAACCCAAAGGAAAGGGTGACGCTACATTGCCGCTACATATGGGGGTTTCCCAAAATTAGGCGTACCATTTTGGGGGTCCCAATAATTGGACTATAGTATTTTGGGGCCTATATGGGGGTCCCCTCATTTTGGGAAGCTACCAGATATCATAGTGACTCTCTGGGCCCTAAACCCCTTAAGCCAACCTAGGCTAACCCAAAGTACCTTTAGAACAGCCTGTTCTACCTAACATGTGGGCATCGTCCCCATGTTTGACGGTACTAGTCACTCAAGGTAGCCAATGACATGGCATGATCCCAGATTTTGGGGAACCTCAATATAGACCTCAATATAAATATGAGACCACCATAATGCTCATAAAAGAATCCCTTAAAAAGGACCCTAATTTTGGGAACCCCCCAATCTAAACCCTGAACCTTTAACCCTAAAACCCTGAACCCTCAACTCTAAACCCCCAAGTCTAAACCCTAAAAACATCAAACTGCTTGCTGAACGTCATCTTCTCGAAGACTGGCGACCACTTGGAGAGTAAGACGGACCACCTGGGGCCAGGATTGGCCTAAGCCAGTGCTTCACGAGGATCCCTAGTAACCTAGGACCCAGGGTTTAGTGTTTACAGTTTTAGGGTTTAGGGGTTTAGGGTTTAGGGTTGGTTAGTAGGACCCAAGGTTTAGGGTTTAGGGTTTAGGGCTTAGGGTTTAGGGTCAGCCTTTTTGAATGTTAGTTAAAGCCTCAAGTCCAAGGTCAGTATAGTATATTGGGATTCTATAGGGGTTATATAGGGTTTATACAGAGTTTTGCCGTATTTTTGTGAAGAACTGAGGAACATCAAAACGGAAAAGCGGCTTACTCAACCCCCCCTCAGTGTTTAGTGCTTCCTAGAATGTCTTTACGGGTGCTTGAGAGGGAGGGCGGGAGCTACTAACCCATACGCCCGTGTGCATATACATACATATCCCTAAGGGTCCAAGGACCAAAATATTGGGGCTTTAGGTACCCTAAAGCCTTGTTTTTTGGGTACTTGGACCCTTAGGGAATGTGTATATATGTATATATGCATAGATACATATTTCCATACGTACTCCCCAGATTGTCCAGCTAGCCTCAAATAGACAACCTGCAACTGTGACGTTAGGACATTCCCTTGGAAGGGCTAAACATCGAACTGGTTGCACCAAGACTGGGTTGCTGTTAAGGAACTTCAATTAATTTACTATATTGGGGAAACCCTATTATTTACCATATATACCCATTATGGTCACTTAATTTAAGCTCCTTAACAGCAACCCAGAAGAAACATGACTGCTCCTAGGGAGTCGCCAGTTCAGCCCGCCCCTAAATTATAAACTGCGCTGAAGGCAAAGATTAGAATGAAGAACGTCCGCTCGGATCGCCAATAACCTAGGACTTAACCAAACAAAGGGTTCAGGGTATCCCAAAAAACGAAAATGGCGTGCTCAACACCCCAGGCCCCTTGACTGCAGCCTAGTTGGGTGGCCTTCCTGTTACAATGCTCTATTCCCCAAACCACCCACATCGCCACAAACAACCAAAGGTTTTGGGTTTGGGGTTGAGGGTTTAGGGTTTAGAGTTTACCCCCCGAAACTGCCCAAACCCATGCGAGGCACACTCTGAATTCTGCGCGCTTTGTCTCGACTGCAGCATCCTCCACCGAAGTAGAAGCCTCGCTGCCATCTCCTGATGTTTCCGGGTGGGTTGGTTGAGAGTTTGGGGTTGTAAAACAGTAGCATATCCCTTTGAGGGGGGTTATGGGATGATGTGGGGATTGTTGGCTAGGGCTCTTAGACGAGGAGGTCCTGTTTTGGGGTACTTATGCTAGATCCTGAGTCCACTACCTGGCAACCTTACATTACATCAGAGAGAACCTACACTTAAATGACAACCCTTACTACTCTAAACTTCCTGGTTCGTAGAAGAGAATAAGGGAATATAATCCTCATATACTGCCCATGCAGTGTATTCCATTATTCCCTGAAAACCCCCAGGAAGTAAACCCTGTAGGCCCTGAGGCCCTACCCGGCTTAAACAAACAACTCTCAACCTATACCCAAAAACATGTAATACAGTACCCTAAACCCTAAACCCTAAACCCTAAACCCTAAATCCCACCCTTAACAAAAAGCACACAAACCTTGCACGAAATCAGGCGAAGTTTTGGCTCGAAGGGTTGAAGTTCGTAACTATAGTAACTAGTGTGCCTACCACTATGGGCTACTAGACCTCAAGGGTACCTTAATCTACCCATAATGGGGTCCTAATGGGGAATTTTAAGGTCTAATAGCCCATAGTGGTATGTATATATATATATATACTCAGATGCATACCCTCGGGCCCGCAGTTACCTAAATAGTGGGTTACTGGGCTAGGTAACTATAGAGTATATAAAGAACCCAGAACCCATTCTTTAGGTAACTGGAACACTATAGGGCGCATATATATATATATATATATACATATACATATATATATATATCTCTCTCTCTCTCTCTCTCTCTGCATATAGGGTCGCGCCCTAAAACAAGTACATTAGAACTCCTCTGCCCTTAAAGTACATCATTCGTCCCTGTAGCCCACCATCATTTGTCCAACCCTAAAACTCCCTGAATCATTTTTCATCCCTAAAACCCTAAACCACCGTTTATCCCTATATACCCTAAATCCTAAATCATGATCCATCCCGAAGCTCCACCTCCATGTAGGTGGTAGTTTCCCAAAATAAGGGGATCCCACCACAGACCCCAATGTATACTATAATCCTTATTATTTGGGGTTTAAGGTTTAGGGTTCCTTATGATTTGGACCCCCAAAATGATACCCCTAGTTTTGGGAAAACCCCATGTCTCTCTGGGGCTCAGGCCTGGGTGGGCCACAACGACGGTGAAGTCGCCATGGCCAAAGCAAGCGCTCAGCACGTTCGCCACGTGCCCCTGCCGCGTGATATATGGGGATACTGGAGAAGAACATGGAAACTATTACCCAAAGGGTCCATGTAGGTAAATGGGCTATACTTGGGCCTTAAAGTAGGTGTATGGGAACCCCTTTGGGCCCTAAGTATATACCATATACCTACATGGACCCTTTGGGTTATGGCATAGGGCTTAGGGTTTAGGGTTTGAGGTTTAGGGTTCAAAGTTCAAGGTTTAGGGTTCATCCTAGGCGGTTCTATAGGGGAGCATTGTAGGGGTTACCAAGGGGCATGGTAGGAGTTTAGACTATAGCTCATATAGGACTACAAGGAGGATCAAGAGAAACCCTAAACTCTAAACCCCAAACTCTAAACCCTAAACCCTAAACTCTAAACCCTAAACCCTAAACCTCTCTAATCCCACGAGCAAAATCCCAAAGCGGACCTTGCATTCGCCCGCGAAGGACTTCGTCGCCATCTCTGGAACCCTCCAGGCCCTACTGCGGCGAGACTTAGAGAGTGAAAGGAGAATGTAGGCTTTATGGGTCGGGAGTTCAGGACTAGGGTTAAGGATTTAGGGATTAGGGCTTAGGGTGTAGGGGGTAAGAATTTTGGGATTGGGGTTCAGGGTTTGGCTGGAGGAAATCTTGCACCCCTTTTTAGGCTCCCTGCAGAATACATTCCCTTATTCTCTACCAACCACCAGTAAGAATAGGGTCAGGTTCATGCTCTGAACAAAGCAGACCTGCAAGACAGGACAAACACCCCGCAAACACCAAATAAACTTGGGTTTCCTGGACCCCCCAAACCACTTAAAAAAACAGCCCCAAAGGCCATTACTCTACATAATTTTGGGGTGTAGGTTAGGGTTGAGGGTAGAGGGGCATTTGACTTAGGCAGGCATCGAACTTTTTGCTAGAGCATGCTGCTATGCGTTGTGTCTTTTTTGACAACAAGCCTTTGTGCTTCCTGCTTTAGTTTTGACCTGGGACCTGAGCCAATGCGGCGGCGCAATTCAACTATGTACTACAGATAGAGAACCATTGCATGCTTTCTCTGCTACTTGACGCTGTGGTTAGGATCTATTCGCAGGCTTCAGGCAAGTATTGTCATTACATGGCACTCCTACTTGGCGTGGAACATGTGTAAAATTATGGTCCAAGACCCATTAAAAGAAAGGGCTATCATTGTGCCTACTTGCGGGGTCCAGGTATTTCGGTGGATAAAAAGAGTCTTGTATGACCCTAAATGCCTCGTACATTGGGAATTGTGCGATTAGATTATACTAAGGCTGCGCACGAATTTCATGGTCAACAATATCATGGACCTTCAAGCGCTCGCGGTTGGCAATCCTGATGATCAATCACAGCTTGGAGGCTCAGGGTCAGCATAGCCACAAATACCTGGTGCTTTTATCACAGTAGGGGACTGCAAAGCCGTATAGCTGGGCTATGAGCACATGTAAACTGGGTAGAATTACACTGAAGCTTCAAGCACACAGCCCAAGTCAACACCCAAACGCTTTCTGAACACATTCGTCATGCTTCGCCCTTTCTTGAACAAAAAATCTCAAAATCACAATATCATATTCATGGAACATGTGCGGACCCTATGCAATTCCGTGAACTACGGCGTTTGGGGCTCAGCCCTCCCAGGCTCTGAGACAACCGACACAACCCTATGCCCCAATCTCGGCACCCTAAACTTAGCCCACATGACCCTAGGAAGGAAAGCATCCTTTTTACATGAATTTCAGGACTCTCATACACCAAAAAAGGTATAAAGGATTCCTAACATTGATCCAGTAAACCCAGAGACTAAAAGACTCCGACCTCCCCCTAGCTGAAGGGCCGAAACACCCAGTCGGCGCTTCTATAGCGCTTCTTTGAAAGGTTTTAATTTAAGGTTTAGATAGCGAATTTTTAAAGAGCTTTAGGGTTTAGGGTTCAGAGACTTCTCGTCCGGGCTGCCCGGCTCTTGCAGATCCTCGAAATGCCAGGTGTGGTCAATGTCTTGCTCGGCCCGGTCGGGGTTTCCGGATCTGTACCTCTAGGGCCCAGTATGCCATACTCATGGGGGGTCGGGGTTTCAGGTTCAGGGTTGAGAATTTAGGGTTCAGGGATTGGGGCTCCGGCTTTGAGCTAGGATCCATACCCAAATGTCCAATATACTCGGTGGGGGCGGGGGAAATCAGATGGAAACGCATATGCAAAGATAAAATTGATTTCGGGGTTCTATGTGTCTTTCAAAAGGAATAGCACCCATTTTATGCCCAAAGGTACAGGTTACAATTCCATATACCACTTTTGGATCGTGTTAATAGCATTGGTCCATTAGATTTTGCGGAGTAGAGGAGCTACCGGCAATATTTCCCCAGAAAAATAATTGACATGGGTTGTTGTCAGAGACTATATCAGGGACCCTTCCGTAGACACTACACTCGAAACTTTGAATATTGAAGCCAAAGCCCCGATCCCACGCCCTAAACCCCTCACACGCCAACTCCCCCCCCTTACACGCCTTAGCCTCAAACCCTAAAATCCCTATACCCGCTCCCCGAAAATCCACATCTCTTACCCTTAAACAATACGAATCCCACACCCCATATCCCCCAAAAGCCAAACAAAACCCTCAACCCCAAATAACGCCTGAGTCACGGTTTCCTGGTGGTTGCGCCAGGTAACAGCGTACTTTCTTATAGAGAAGGACACGTCAAGCGCTTATAGTCCAAGCCAAGTGCAGGGCCATTATTTCCAGTGGCGCACACAACGTCTGCATGCTCTGAAGACACTCAACCCTCCATCCAGCACACCCTGTCGCTGCAATCTCTGGAGTACTACAGGGGCCTACAGAATTACCTATATCATTTTGAAGTGCATGTGATGTACCATATATTCTAAATACATAAGGAACATGGAACCATAATATTGGTAATTATTTAGGCCCGCATATTAGTCATGTGTCAAATGGCCTTCACTTAGCAACCGACACACTCAGGCACAGAGCATGCTGTTTTCTACACAAGAGGCTGCGAAGGCGCAACCTTCTTAAGTTCTCGGCCCAAACTGCCGCACTTAGCACAATCACGAGCAGCTTGGACACAACACATAGTTCGTCCTTCTGGATAGGGTTTAGGGTGTAGGGCTTTCGGACAAGAATCATTTACTTTGGCATGGTATAGTAGCCCTTTTCATTCATAGCTTGGACAATCGTAGGGTCAGTCTATCACCAGACCCTCCCTGCAAATGGTTTGCATTTTCCCGGCCTAGAGAGGACTGGCCGGGACCAAGGATTACAGATGTCCAGTATCCCAGAAAAGCACCCACTTTTCCACCATCAACATAGCGCCGCCACAAGGTAGCTGTTACGCTCTCGCTGGGTGCTGCCTGCCCTCTTTTTGCAGCCTTCTGCCTGTCCTCAACGACCGCCCGCAAAGCATCTTCCTCCCAGTCGAGGGATTGTCTGGCCCAATCTGCCAAGATGTCCTTGAGAACTGCTTCCTCCGCACACAGAAGCCGAAAGTTTAGAATCTCTTCCAAGAGTTTTGAGCTGACATTTGGAAGAAGTTTTAGAGCTATGGCTGGCTCGACCCAAATAAGGTCTAGCGCAGCATTGCGCAGAGGCACGACGTGAAAACGGTCCGCGCAAGCAAAGACCTCACAAGCCAACTCAGGTTTGAGCTTCTCCCTGACAGCTTGGAGGCAACCTGCATGCAGAGTTGCGATTTGGTACTTGTCTGCCAAAGCAGCTACCTCGATCAGCATGCTCAAGG